TCACTGAGAGTTTGAAAGTGAATTTAAACTCCTCTACCCTGCGTACCTTAGTCAACTTGATTTTCTGCTTCTGTTGGAATGAAAATTTCCACATTAATACAAACGGATTTGCTTTCAGGAGAACAAGAATGAATACCTAGTTAGATCTAAATGTTTAGGTCTAGATCTCCATTATCTTATACTCATGCATTTGATTTTTGTGATCCCAAATGGGAGACAGCATATTTATTCATGTGGCATTGGTCATAGTTCAGCCTTTTAATGTATGGAGGTTATTTTGAATCTTGAGTGTGTTCTTCAACAGATTTCTTACCTCTCTCTGCCCAGCGAAGTGTAAATTTGAAAAGCATGACTGTGGCTCTGTTGGAATTAAGGGGGAAGTGCTAATGGAGAAGGCGAGGAGAGAGCACTTGGTGCGTCACCAAAGGTTCCACATTAGTTGATAGGAGGTTTGAAATCCTCCTCAGAAATGGAAATTCAGGATGATAATTAAAAACAGGACTCATTATGTTGCCATGACTACTCTATGGCCAGCAAATAATAAACATTTATAGTATAAGGTAGTTGTTATCTAGCAGGCACTTTTCTAAGTGATTTTATATGCACTAACTCACTTATTCCTCACCTATACATAGGTATTATCATGAATAATTATGCCCATTTTAAAGATAAAGAACCTGAAGTATAGAGATATTAAGTAACTGGCTGAATTGGGATTCAACCCCAAGCAGGCTGCCTCCAGACTTCGTATCTGTAACTAACATGTTCCATTGCATAGTGGCCACACACAATGCAGACGTTACATATTTTTTATTTTGAAAAATAACAACTAGATATTATTCTCTGGGGGTAAATCACATTGTCTATTCAACTGGGGTAATTAAATTAAATCTCTAGGTAGTTTAAACTAAGAAACTTTGTGAAAAAAATTACTATTTGGAAGAAGATATGCCTTCAAAGGCCACCAAGCATATTTAAACACCTATATTCATTTTCACAGTGAAACTACGTTTTGAATGAGTAATTTTGAAGCCTTTCTTAAATGTAAAGTTTCTCTGAAATTTGTTTTTTTTCCTGGTACATTATTTACCTCGGATCTCAATGGACAGGTCGTAAATTTGCTTTGCACCCTCAGGTGCTCTGCTCTGAGGACACTGGTATCTCGGGATGGAAGAGCCATCAGCGCGGGTGTGTCTGCAGCTGTCCTCTGATGGGGATGGACCATTTGAACAATGCCATTCCCAGGGCTGTTGTTCAGGGAAGATGTTTTATAATCAAACCATTTTCTGTTGATGCTACTTAATATGCCAGGCTCCTCTGGAAACTACATTAACTCTTTCAGAGACGAGGTACTGTGTAGTGTCTGGTACTGGAGCTTCCTAAGTAGTCCTCTTGAACCCTGGAGAAGTGAATTCTACTTCCAGATGTGCCCTATTTCTGAAAAGAGGTTTGGATCCCTAGAGGAGTGACTTAATGAATGTTAATTGATGATGATGATGATGATGATGATAATGGTACCTGACTGTTATCCTTATAAATAGTATAAATGACTTTGCATTCCTAACCCCACTAAAATGTCTTCAATATTTGACTGATTCTGAACAAATATAAATTGTGTATTTTTATTAATTTTACTATATTCTAGGTTTCTCTACTTGTCTTGGTTTTAAATGTTTATTAGTATGCATGATATAAGTAAACTAAATTTTACATTATAAAATGTGTTTTCA